TATACCTGCAGGTCTCAGGGCAGTTCACAGGATAAACTTCATAACTTAGATGCAATTTAAATAAAGCATATAAGTTAATATAAACCCTCCAAATAGGTAACCACAGAAGATTGATGCCTGTATGAAATGAGCTCTTCAGATCATAGATAATGGATTTTTGTCCTTGCAATCTCGAAGTAGAAGTCTCTTAGCCACCATAAGAGCTAACACAATCCACTTTTTCTGCCCACCCATTAATGCTTCCGGGATATAGTTTTAAAGTACCTGATATCTGCAAATACCAAGGATTTCACCAATATAAAATTGATAAGGGTAGCAACTTCAAACAAAAAGGAATATATTATACTACAAAAACACATAAAAGGTTAAATAACAGGAAGTATCGTAATATGGGTGGGCATTTATTTATCTATAAATGAATGCTTTCAAAAAATACCCACCACCTTTCATTAACATTATTTCCAAGAAAATACTGCTGCAGCCTTTTAGTCAGCATCTACATTTACAAGAGACTATGAGGTGCTGCTTACCCAGCTGACAGGAAACTGCATGCAGAGAGACTGTAGTCTTAGCCAGCTCCATGGTGCCCTGTGCTGTTTTGCTGACTCCACATACATAGTCCTTGTTATGCAGCTTGATGGATATCTATGCACTTCTAGTTCTGTGAAGTGAAGGTCTGGAAATAAGTGAGAAAAGGAGAGATACATGAATTAAAGGTTCACCACTTTCAGTCTCATTTAATGAGGTTAAATGAAACATCTGATAAGTGAAGTTGTGAGAAATATAGGTGCTTCTCAGAGTAGATTGCGTATTACGGGAGGGTATCTGTCTTTTCAGACTTTCACTGTAATGGGAATGCAGAATAGATGTATTGGCACTAGTTCAGGAATATTGGCTGGCACTTCCATTTGAGCTTGGGAGGAGGGTCAGACCTCTGTGCAAGAAGTAATCTAGTTTCCCAGTAATTTTTACTCCTTGGAATGCTGATCATTTCCCTGAATATTTGAGCATTTCAATTTTCTTAACGTCAGTGTTACTGGTTTAAGGTATACATTGCACAATGAAAATGTTGCTATTTCTGAACTACCAATTCCTGTATCAGTCCATAATAGGTTTTGCTTTAATCAGTCATGGATGCAATATCTGAGCTTATCTCCTAGCCAAGTGTTGTTTGCTAAAATCCCTTAACAAAGAGCTCACTCTGTGCGTGTGTCTGTGTATGAGAGAAACAGGAAATACAAGTTGGTAGGCTACTGTATCTTATGAGACTTGCAAGTGGCATGTAGTACAGCCTGACTTGCATAAATTCTGTATTGCACAATATAAATTTCCCATTAGTGATGGTGTAAATCTTTTCCACCTCCCATTTGCTAATTTAATTTCACACCTATGGATAACTGCTGGTTAACCAATAATTTTACTAATGGAAATAATCTATGACCTCTCATCTATTAAGCAAATAATAATTTCAGGTAATTTATCTAGCAAAATAAGAATATACAGGGCTTTATATAACCTCTTCTACCAAAAAAGCTGTAGCCCGCATAAACTAAAATTACTCAAGGAGCTTGCATAGTAGCCAGCCGTCTCATTTCATTAGGTAGGGGAACCTGGAGAATGACCTCTGATGAGGCATTGCAGAAGTAGCTTTGCCCCAACTCATTTAGGTTATTAAAAGTTAAAATCAGCACTTTGAATTGGAACTGGAAACTGACTACAAGGTACTACAGATGATCAAGCACTGGTATGATATAATTATATTTACCAGTCCCATTCATTCACTCATTCATTCATTCATTCACTCACTCACTCATTCATTTTTTTACTACTACTTCATTTATATGCCGCCCATCTGACTGGGTTGCCCCAACAACTCTGGGCAGCTCCCCATCCATAACTTAGTCAACCTATTTTGGACCAACTGAAGCTTCCAGACTGTTTTGGAGGGTAGATCTCTGTAGAATGCATTGCAGTAATCTGAGTGGTAGGTTACCAACCTATGGCTATAGCAAGTTAGCTGAAGCAGATGTAAAGCAATTGTAGAATGAAAAATTGGACCACCAAGATTATATTTATGTTCTGAATAGATAGCTCTGCTTAGGAACCCATAGTCTAAGCTATTCAAAAATAAATATACATACTCAGAATAGGAGCAAGTGCATTCACATAACATATACCACAGGGAGGAAGTGGGAATTGTAATTGCAGGGTAGTTATAATGTAATTACACTGCAGATTTGCTGTAGCACCATATCATTACTAATTATTCATTTTCCTAGAAGAGAAGGTTAGCTGTAGGAATGTTACTCACTGTTCATGCTTATTTTATATAATTATTCTCACTTGTGCACTTTAAGGCCACAGTTACAAGTAGCCCCTATTCCCAGTGCTCCTTAATTGCACAGTGCAGCTATTTAGCACAATTTAATGGTCAATATCAACTGGTTAGGAAACATTAGCTGATGAAGCTTAACAATATTCAAACACTTCTCCAAATTCAAAGTACTCATTAAAACAAAAGCTACCCATTAAATTTAGCTGCCAGCTTTCCCCAAGCTGATGTCCTCCCCATATTTTGCACTTCAGATCCCATCGTCCATGACTATTGGCCATGCTTGCTGAAGCTGATGAAAGTTGGGAGTGCCAAAGGTCTGGAGACCATCAGATTTGGAAAGGCTGACTTGAGCTATTCTGATCCCTCTGGAAACTCATAAGATGGCCATGAAGGAAATAGACTTTCCATGTTGGTTGTCCCTAGCATCTGATAATTTATTTTATTGGAGATATGCTTGTTCTGCTTTTTGAGAAAATCCTTCATAAAGCAGCTTGCATATTTCATAAAAGTTTTTCTTAAAAAAGCAGGTGTTAAGTGTGGTGTAGTAGATAAAGTGCAGGATTAGGACCCGGCATATCAGTTTTCAAATCTGTAATCAGCCATGAAGCTTACTCGGTGAACTTGGGTATAACTGACTTCCGGTGGTTATGTATGCCACCTGGAGCTGCTTGCAGTCAGTAATACATAAAATTAGAATAAACAGTAACATTAAAATAACCAGCACAACACAGAAATGATTTGGCCCTACCCCAGTTAACTACCATCAATCCATATCCTCACCCACCTGGTGGGTGCTGAAGCGGGCCTTCTGAACTACGGTAGATTTTAAGATATAGACACCACTACATGGGTGCAGGCGATTCTTTGAATAATATTGCACTAAGCTGTTTGGGGCTTTAAATATATTAATGAACACTTTGAATTGAGTTTAGAAACACAGTTCAGCACAAAGAACACTAGAGCAGTGCGTATGTTGGGCCAGTAGTTGGAACTTTTGGAAAGGGATTTTTTTTTTATTTTTTTTTTTGGTGGATTTTATGTTTGGGGCTCAGATGGAACCTTCAGCAAACTACTTCTTCCTCTGCTTTTAGTGTTGAGTTGGTTGACTGATTTGATTTTAAGAGATTGCCTAAAGGTGGAAAGGCAGGATATCATTCAAGGTGGTTTGCAAACATAATGCCATTTACAAGGGACTCTGCAAGGTCCAGCTCCCCGCACCTGATGTTTGTTCAGGTTCTGGCAGCCTTGGAAATAGCAAGTCCTCCTCAAACCAAATTGGAGAGCAGAGCCAGAAAATGTGTCCAGGATCAGGAGGTCATAGCAGCTCCTGTCACATTCTTCTTCCTACGTTGCAGCAGCAAATGTGGGGTCACAGAGTCAAAGAATTTTGGAGTTGCAAGGGATCTAGTCCAACCCCCCTGCAATGCAGGTATATGCAGCTGTCTCATACACAGATTGAATAAGCAACATTGCTGTTATCAGCACCATGCTCCAAACAGCTGAGCTATGCTGAAATAAGTAACTGCCCAAGATTACTAAATAAGTTCAATGCAAGTTACTTGTCTCCATCTACTCCAGCAGTCTATTTCCAATAGTGGCCAGAAAATTGCCTCTGGGCAGCTGACAAGCAAGGCGTTATGGCAGTTGGTGTCACTGGCACCTGGTATTCATAGGTGTGCTGTCTCTGAACAAAGATTTTCTATTTAGCCATTGTGGCTGATAGGATCTTCAATGGTCTGAGCAGCTTTGGGTGAATTGAACCAAGGAAAGGTATAGTGGGAACAGTTTAACAGGGTTGGATATCACCCCATGTTTTGGAAGTGCTAGTACCTCTCCCTGTTCATTTGTATTGGGGAGGAGTCATACTAGCTCTCACATAAAGTGTTTACTGCATGATAATTGTGGCAAGTAATGATACAGGATTCTAAAATTGCAGGCTTTCAAAGCATCTAAAATATGACCTACAGCTTAGCACATCTTGAGTCTCAAAGCTACGCCCCACATCCTCTTCAAGCAGAAACATATCACAGGGTGTGGGCCTTTCTGCTAGCTACACCCTGCTGTCAAAGTGCAAAAGGGATATAAATTTGAAAATAGAAAAAAGCAATAATAATTCAACAAACACAGTTCTAAAATTGAACTGATCTTGCTGTTTTCTTAGCCATTAAAAATAGGCAGTATATAAAATATCCAGCCCAAACATTTAATAAGGTGAAATAAAGTCCTAAGAATTGGCTTAAACTTTCTCTAGAGACAAAGGGGAGACACTTACCGTATTTTTCGCCCCATAGGGTGCACCTAGTTTTTTTTGGGGGGGGGGATAAGGGGGAAAATTTATTTTCCCCCTGCAGCCATCCCCAAGCTAGAAGAGGGAGACGGAGGGTAAAATAGATATTTACAGAAGGGAAATTCTGTAAATATCTATTTTACCCTTCATGATAAAATACCATTTTACTATTCTGAGTAAACCTTTCACAATAGTATTAAAAACTGCAGTTTATTTAAAGGCATTGCTGTGCAACTTCATTTGGAAAAAGTATACGTATCTTACCAGCCTATAATTTCTGGAATTCATGTAAATAGAGGCATCTCCTTACTGGTAAACAAGGTACAAATTAATTTCTTTTGTACTGATTCAGATGTGTATATTCTATTTACTCCTCAGGCAGAGAATGAATTTACCCTGTATGTATGAACAATGCAAGCGTTTGCTGATGGTTACTAATGAGTTAGCACGTCTTCAAGTTTCATACGAGGAATATCTCTGCATGAAAACCTTGCTGCTTCTCTCTACAAGTACGTGAACATTGGTGATTCCTCTTTTTTTAAAAACAAAACCACTTTTTAAAGAGTTCTCCTTCAACACTAATCTGGGAACTGAATTTAGAACTCTCAGATCCAGTTTATTAGAGAGTTCTGTGGCTACCACATTTTGTCAGTCTTGGGTCAGCATTTGTGTACCTCATAAATGATAGTCCAAAAAAGCATGTTAAAATTATTTTGAAATTAACAATTTGTTGCAATATCTGTTGGACCAAACCAATTTTGCCACCAGAAATAACTAAAATGTTCAATTCTTAAATGGGTTCAAGCTTTGTGGTAGCTGGAGAGCTGATGAAAGTAGCAGTTTGCACATAAATGCTTGGACAAGGAAGCTCTGTTCAGACTTAAGTCGACTCTGATAATAGGTATGAGTCTCTGGTGTGATCAAAGCCCAGGAGTGCCCTGTGGAGGAGAAATTTGCAGAAGCTTTTTCAGTAGAAGGGAGTTTTATTTTTCTAGGTACACTAGAAGAATAAACAGAATCAATAGCCATTTATTTCTTCCTGGAAATACAACCATTTGGAGACACGGTTGATGGATGAATCCAGGAAACATTAATCTCCATGGTGCAAAATCTTACAACCATACTATTTCTATGGACAAGGTCACTTAGAATTTCCTATAATTTGAGAGGTATGTGCACAAGTGTGAGTACTGGTTTTCCTTGTGCTACATACTGTCTTAGACTGCAAAACCAAAACGGCCTTTTAATGGTGTTATTCACAATACTTATTTTATGCAGAAACTCTGAACTCTCTGCAATTGTCTGCATAAATATCCACAATTTAAAAACATGATTCTAACTTCTCTTGTCTTGGTTTACGGTAAATAGAAACATCCTGTTGTAGGACGCTTACAAACTCAGGTGATCTAAAAACTAATCTCGTTATTTCAGTTCCTAAGGAGGGCTTGAGGAGTCAGGCTCTGTTTGATGAAATTCGTATGACCTACATCAAAGAACTGGGGAAAGCTATAGTGAAGAGAGAGGGAAACTCGAGCCAGAACTGGCAGCGATTTTATCAACTGACAAAACTTTTGGACTCCATGCATGATGTAAGTTTTGCTTCCATACATTGATTCTGTGCAATTTGAGGATAGTACCAATGTGGATGAAACCTGGCCAATGAAAAAGCCATCGAGGCACAGCTTTCCTGATTCTAAAGCTAAGGTTCTTCAGAAAGGTACCTTTCTGGACTCCCACTGCCCCTTCTAGGCCATTGATTGTAAAGTATTCCAGTAAGTAGGGATGTGGGCAAAGACGACATCAGTGCGTCCCTCACAGGGCCACTCTGCCACCAACTGCCCTGTGGGAAGGATCCTGACGGCATTTTATATGTCAGTATTGTTCATTGTGGATTTTTATAACAAGAGTTTTACTCATAAACAGCTTTGAAATCTGATTTAAGCCAGCATTCTTTTGCCAGTTTTAATTTGTGCTGTGATATATTTAACGTCTTGCAGCATTTTATATATGCTACACTGTATTGATAATTCAGGCTTCTTTTAAGAAATTAATTCTCTTATCATTTGCAGGTGGTTGAGAATCTTCTAAGCTTTTGCTTCCAAACGTTTTTGGATAAATCCATGAGTATTGAATTTCCAGAAATGTTGGCAGAAATCATCAGCAATCAGTTACCAAAATATTCAAATGGGAATATCAAGAAACTCCTATTTCATCAGAAGTGACTGCCTTAATACAGAAATAATGCCTTAAGGAAAAAAAAGTCAATTATAGCTTCTTTTTTACAAACTAAAAGACTTGTTAATTTTGTCCTTGCAACTATATTGGGTGTTCTTGTTTTTGTTTTGTAATTATGCACTACATGTGGTTTACAGAGGGCCAAGACCTAGGTTTCAGAAGCAGATGCCTCAAACTGAATGATTACAGGAAGAAGGAAAAGAAGGAAATATGATTTGGGATTTTCCCTCCAGAAACACCATCATATTCACAGGATAGGATATACCAAAACAGCAGTGTCAAGTTCAGAATCTACATTGTCAACATTCTGCTAGGAATTTCTGCAGTTGGCTGGATAAAATTTTCTAGGTTTTTGTTTTGGTATAGATTTTTTGTATAGTTAAGGTAGCATTTTGATTTATGCATGTAACATGAAGAAAGTTTACAACTGTATATCGGAAAAGGGAAGTTGTGCCTTTTATAGCTATTACTGTCTGGTTTTAGCAATTTCCTTTAACTTTATATACAGTGAACTAAGCTTGCTCATTTTTTCTTACATAATTTTTGTAAAACGTCAAGATGCCTATTGTACAGCTGTTTTTTTAAAGTGGGGCAGCTCATAGCTTAATGACCTCTAGATATTAATCTTTTAAGTATACTCATGTGAATATAGGTTGACTTTTCTAACCTGATCAAGACTGTCATAGTCACCTTTTAGATGTCACCTTTTAAATTTGGCCTATAAAAATCAGCTTTCTTCAGTGGCGGGGGTGGGGTGGGAGGGATTGAAATGTAATCCAAATCTAACCTGAACACTGGACATGCATACTTTTGATATTGGTCAAAGATTCTGTGAGCTACTTGCAAACTAGCTCTGTCTTAAACAGGTTTGTCAACACAAACATTTTTTTTTAAACAAAGCATACTAGATATTTACATTTAATGTGATAGCCATAATTGTAAGATTCTTGGGCTGGATTGACAGTAAAAACCTCAGTCTTGACTGCCCATCAGGAAACCTTCAGGAAAATATGCATAATTGTTTAAAAGTTTACTTCTACATGGAAAAATTAACTTTTTCCATACTCAGTCTATTGCCATATGAGTGTGTACTTGTGTGTGCATCAGTGTATATTATATATACAGTGGCCACAATCCAGAGCAGCTGTCATAACGCAGAACAAAACTGATGTGCACCAAAATTGGCATGTCTGCTGTTCTCCTTGGACATAACTGAGAAGTAGCAAAACCTGTGCTTTTTTAAATTATTTGGAGGACAATATTGATGATCAGTTCATCTTTTCCCCCCTCAACAAGTGCAAAGCTGTGCAATTGCCTCCTTGGGCTTCTCACAATTGTTGGATTACACCCAGTGTTGCCATTCTAGAGAATCTGCTCCCTCCAGCCTAAGATGTGATTGGCACTGCCGCTTCTTATAACCTATGGGGAAGGTGTTGGAGGATGGCAAGGCTGCCTTATGAGATGATAGTACTGCAGCTCATGCCTCACCAGTGCAGTAGTGCCCCGAGTCCTGAACACACCCACCCGAGCCTACCTTTGCAGCAGCTTTTTGTTCCGCAGTAAAGCAGAACAATAAGTAGAAAGAAGCCAGTTTCTGCTTGTGGGTCACTCCCTGGATTGGGCAAAATCTTGACTCTATTTTAAGTTGATGGTTAATTTCTGTTGACTTCAATAGTCAGGAACTCTATATGTGTATATACGTACACGTATACATACTTTATATAAATACATATACATAAATATCATTGAATTACAAAAAATAAATGTAATTATGCCCAGTATATATTATGTTTAGTATTATAATGATTCTTAAAAGATTTTACTTCAAGTAAGATTTTTACCTTTATGCAGAAAATAAAATAGACCAAACTACAGAAAGAAACAAATCACTTCTGGAAAATAAAAACCCTAAACTTGTGTTGTTACACCCCCATTTTCACTTCATTCGTCACCCAAACAATCCTATCTTGTTTCCTGGAGAACACGAAAATTCCGCTACTGATTTAGTGGTGTAGACTAGAGCTTTGTCTCTGTACGTCTCCCAACCCTTCTGCATCAAACTACTAGTGTGCCATAAAAACAACCACCATATAAGTCTTGTGAATTTACAACCATGTAAGTCTTGTGAATTTTTCCTTGTCATCATTGATTTATATTTTAAAACAATTTGCAAGCTGTAGTAGCCTATCCTCTGAGCAGCTTAGGAATTCTCAGAAAATTGTAAATGCTACGCCACTCGAAAGAAAGAAAAAATATTTTTGTTCAAAGTGGCCTGGATATTTCTGTAAAAAGAAATTAATGGGGGTTTAATTACTTAACAGGAGTTAACAATCAAAATGTAATATGATGCTACTAATATTTTTTAGTTATATTTTCAAATAGATATCATTTGGTAGAGTTTGAAAAGGAAGGAAGGGCTACTACAGCTTTAAAAGCAATTTATCAAATTATTGTAAAATAGCTTGTATAGTGTATCATAAGAATGGTTTTTAGATGACAGATTGCTTTATCATGACATGTGATATATTTTTTCTAGGGGTCACAAATGTGTTAAATGGTAACCCATACAAATTGTGGTTTGTCTGGAAGTATTAATCCTGGCAGCATTGTTCTGAAGTATCTAAAGAGGTACTCTAGTTTTACTTGGTGTGTTTCTATCGTTTGTTTGTTTTTATCCTTTTCCTTTTGCTTTCCTTTTTGTTTTAAAGGCACTTACCCATATTCGGTGGGAGTTCCTCGGGCTGAAACCTAAATCCATTAGTCCGCTGTAAGAAAAACACGGGAGCTGGAGGTTCAATTTAATTGCCCAGCCCGTGTGCTTGGTCCCCTCACATTCCAGGACTAAACCTGCAGCAAATGTGCAGGTTTATTTGACCCTTCCCCCTACCCCCCCCCCCAAAAAAATAAAGCAGTGTGTTCGTATGTCCACACTTCTCTATGTATGGGGTTACTTTCACATATAGCCTCACAGAGCACCGCAAAACAGTGAGACAAATTTGGCAGTTAAAATCCATACAGGTACCAGCAATATGTAAATAATAGAGCATAGGTTGTTCACCGTCTACTAAATACATTTCTAATTATTCAACAAAAATGTTCCTGGTAAAATAGTTTTACCTGAACTATCTGTTTTTAAATCTTTTTTTAAAAAACAAAACAAAACACCAACAACAAACGTTAAGCTTACAAATGGAAATCCCCAGCTACTTTCAAGTAAAATACTACCTTTTAATAACAGTAATCATTCTTTTTGATCTCTGTGCAATCCCACAATTGGGTGCTGCAGCTATGCATAGCATCTTGAGAACCTTACAGAGCTTTTGTCAAGTAACTCATCCTCTGGTGCTGCGAGCCTCTTTGCAATTATCTGGGGTGGGGAGGGGAGGGGAGGGGGGATAAGGGCAAGCGCCACCTCCTTGAGAATGTGCTGCCTGTGTTTCTCTCTGTGAACTTTTCCACAGGAGCACCAGCTCCCTGGCTAGGGCTCTAGAAGGTTCTAAACATGTTCTGCATAGAATACAGTTGTGTTATGCACAGATGACCACTCAAAGGATACTAGAAACAGGTAAGAAACCTGTCTCTCTTCTTGAATAAGCTCTTTAAAGTATGTATGTTTTAACAGTTAATCTAAGCTTCAGAGAGTATTTTAACATTAGTTTGCAAACCATTGGGATGAAAACGTGTATTCTGCCTGATTTTAGTTAATGCTAAGAGACTCAAGTACAGTATTTGGTTTCAAAAAGGTTCCTGAAAAGATAAATCATGACACCCTGTCTTTATTTCAAAGGAAAATTTGGAAAGTTGAACTTGGGAACTGATGTGTAGTAAACATTTTAGTCCAAGTTTAAGGAAGCTAGCACTGCATCCATGGACAAATGTATGTGTGGTGGTTTACCTATACAAGTGAGGTATACAGAAATCAATATTATGACTATGTGCAAACAAGTACTTCAGCGGTGGAAAAGAGGCTCTAATTCTTTTGATTTCATGTATTTTTGCTCAGTTTTTGAACTTTGATTTCACTTTTTAAAAATGCTGATTCTGGAAAAGAACTTTCAATTTAAATGTGCTGTTAAGAATACAAGTACAAGCCATTTAAAGTACATAAGCATCAGCAAAAGGTATGTTGTTTCTTGTCTGGCTAGTCTTTTTCATGCTGGGGAAAATCAGCACTTCAAATAAAGCAGGGAATATTCTGACTTCTGTCTCTTCAGTGCCTTGCCACAACATGCTAACAGAAATAACATGGGTAGCCCCAGATATGCATGCTGTATGTTAGAATTGCACTTGGAAACTAATAGGAATAGCCTTTCATAGGATATGTTAGGGCATGCAAACGGAGAGAGGAAATTTTATCACTTATACACCACTAAAGTAACTGAGAGCCTTAGCCTTAAGCCTGAGCACACTTACTTTGAAGTAAGTCCTATAAAGTCTTTGGGACTGACGTCCAGGCAAATGTGCTTAGGATTGGTTTGCCAATCTTGCCAGCCGTACCGTATTAAACCAAAAATAAAGCATTGAGTTTCCTTGAAAACAGCAGAGGCTGAGAAAGTGCGCACAACAACAAGTGCCAGCCTACCTTTAGAAACACAGCCACTTAACTTGACAAAATAACAGCGTATTAGGAACAGAGGTGGGAAGAAAGCAGATGGTGGAGAACTGAGAACCAAGGCTAGTCCCATTTACCATATTCATATACGCACATCATGTGGAGCGATTACAAATATGCAGGCTCACAAGATAAGATAGCGCATCTTCATTTTGTTCAGCATGCAGAAACTCAGTGGGGCCTTAATTCTTCAACATAGTGTGCATTCCGATGCTGATTATGCAAAGAACTTAACCCTTCTACACTTGCAAAGAATGAGTTAAATCAAATGCTGTCAGGCAGAACCCATTTTAGTTTTTAAACAAAAAAAATTAAGTACTATTTACAAAACCATATTAAATGTACAGGTGGATGGTAGCTGGTGGGGTGGGGAGGTCTGTAATTTCTACAGCTTTTAACATCTCCTTTGAGAGATGCATCCCGCCCCCGCCCCCGCTCCAACAGAAAAGCTGGGTCCAGAGCTACAGTCGTGTCTGCAGAAGGTGTCTTCTGTTGACAAGTAGTGTTATATACTTTAGTGCCAAAGTAAAGTGAAAATAAATCCAAAGACGTTCTTCCGCTTCATCAAGCAGAAGCCCAAGAACTTTTATCGAACCTACCTGGCATACTGTTACACAAATGCTTTCCCTGGTGCTGTGTAAGCTTTTGGACATAAGAGTTAAAATTTTAAAATTAACTTGGGTAGTTAATGCCTCCTTAGCTTTACTGTGGCATCAGCACTAAGTTGCTGTTGTGGTGTTTACACAAAGCTTTTATCATGATGGGGCTGTTTATGCCCTGCATGACATGCCAGCGAATCCTTTTGGAACGCCCATAGAAACATGGGGTGGTATTTGGACATCACAGAACAACAGGCTCCCATTATTTTCAGCAAATGCATGGCAAATGAAATCGATGTCAGGGGAGGGGAAAGCTTTTGCATGTTTTGACTAGCCCATGGGGCCAGTTCTGGCCCCTCAAGTGTAGGAGGGTTGAGACATCCGAGGAATGGGTGGCAAGGCCCTGGCGTTTTGAACCCACTGCAAGATAAAGTATGTGCTTAAGTACTTTGTGGAAAGGGACCAGAGTCTCCAGCCTCTTTCAGAATTGAGCCTCATCCACCACTGCCTGGTCAATATTAAAACCAATTGGGCACAATTGCCCTGAATGTACACACATTTTTATGCTACTGCTGTCAACGTAGGAACTGTACTTTCAAGCAAGAAATAGAGCCTCATGTTATTGGAAAACACTGAAGGGCCCTTTCTGAGGCTTTTGTTTGCTGGTAAAAAGGCTGCGTGTGTGAAAATAGCCTCCTTTCTCCCCAACCCCCCAAAACCATACAAGCCCAGGCTTAATAGCACGGATTCAATAGTGTGTCAACGTTCTATTTTGTATATTATACAAAAGATATATAATGGGGACAAATCCTATATTATGCTGGTGTATGGCATTATTAAAAAGCTTTTTTTGTTATTTTTATCACAGTAATTTTAAACAGTGTAAAAAAAAATTAAAACAAGTGACTCCTGTTTAAAAATAAAAAGTTGTAGTTTTTTATTCATGCCGAATAACTCTGTAGTAACCATGTCTTTTCACCTACACAGTGAAATGTTGGATTGTAAAATCTTGTGTGGAACTGTTGAGCATTTATTTTTCATTTTAAATTTTGCTGTTCTATTAAATTCAAAGCCACACGTCTGTACAGAAGTTGCAGTAAATGTAAGCCATTTACAGCAATGCTGAATAATGGACAAAATGACATAATAAAAACCTGCTTTTTCATTACATGTTCAAATACCCTTTGAAGTGGGGTTTTTCGTTTTGTTTTGTTTCTTGTACAGTGCGTTGCAGATGGAGTTCAGCCTTCTATTAACCTACAAAAATTAAGGCTGCAACCCTATAAACATTTACCTGGGAGTCTGTGTGTGGTTGCGTTAGAGTACTGTCAGTGAAAATAATACAAGCAGAAGCATGCCAAAAACTTGACTGAAAATTTATTTTTATCTTGCACACGAAACCCCTCCACCATCTTCTCCCCACCTCCCCGCTCCGAATTATCAGGGTGGTGACAGATTCTTGGAATTTCCAAGAGGGTTGAGGGAACAAGCACGAACAGAACAGTTTTATACCTCCTGAGAGCAGTTAATACCTTTTAAATATGACGGCAGTGACCTGACCCACCCTTCCTTATCCCAGTGGGGGCAGATGAAGAATCCAGGAATTAAAGACGAGCAACCATTTGCTTATTCCCCAAATTGAACACAAATAGAGCGCCTTCTGCTCCTGAAATAGTCTTCTGAGAATACAGTAATTCACTAAATGAGGAAGGCATGCAACAGGATTTTAAAAGAAATGTGTGTGTGAATGACAGAACCTGAGCTCCGTTGCCAGCTAAGTGAAACAAAACCTCCGGTCAGGGTTAAAGCAGCAGGGTTCACTGCAGAATGAGACAAAGGACTTTCTTGGATAAAATAAAAGCATTAAGTCACAAATGAGAATCTCACTGAAGCCACAGTTTTAAATTAATGGATTGGAACCAAGGCAACCAAAGCTGCTGAAAGACCGTGCTAATGACCTAAGTGAGTTGGCAAAACAACTTAATTTGTTTTAGAAAGAAACAAGTGGACAAATGCAGTTGCGCTTCTAATGAAATAGTTTGGTGAAATCTATAAAACAGTTTCCTTCAACTTAGCTAATGCCGCATTTAAATTGGAGCAGCACCTGCACTGAAATACATAAAAAGAATGACAAAAATTCTATTAACTTGGGAGATTTGGGGGCTGCAGCCTAAGTCTCGCTTTAGTCTCCACAGAGATCTCTGCAGTGGCTTTCATTTACCTGGGAGTCAGACCCAATGACCTGTAAAGGACAGGCATGTGCAGCAGATTCAGACAGATCCCCCCCAAAAGTGGGGGCACTTTGGACAAATTTCAGGCTTGTCTGAGCTGAAGGGGGATCTCTCCAAAGCACCGGAACTGAAGTTGGGGACCTCCAAAGTGATTCAGGCCAATTCAGATGTTTCAAAATCTATACAAAAGGTGTGCTGGTAAAAATCGCCCTATTAGGCAAACATCATGGTGGTGTGAAGAGGTGACCATCTAGCTCTATTAGAATGATTCCACCAGGTCTCTGCAATCCCCATGCTTCGTGGAAATGTTCTTGAAGTGACATATCATCTTGTTCTTGTCTATCCTGTGTTCTTTGCAAGTACTGCTTGTTTCTAAAATGCTGGACATTCAAGTCCTTTTGCCCTTGTGCCACATTTGTTCCTCTCAAATCAGCATTATGAGTCGCTTGTGCGACCTTTAGTCCCATTCATCGTTACTTCCTAACCACTACATCCAGCCTCCTGAAATCTTGCTGCTTTCTTTCCTAGAGACACCTCCATAATTTTTGCTATTTCCATAAATTCAAAACATTCTGGTTAACCTAGGCCAGGCATAGGCAAACTCGGCCCTCCAGATGTTTTGGGACTACAACTCCCATCATCCCTAGCTAACAGGACCAGTGGTCAGGGATGATGGGAATTGTAGTCCCAAAACATCTGGAGGGCCGAGTGTGCCTATGCCTGGCCTTGGTGTTTGATGGCTGAAAGACCCTGGTCACCCTGAAATAATGAATTATGATAGTAAGGTAAAGGGACCCCTGACCATTAGGTCCAGTCATGACCGACTCTGGGGTTGCGGCGCTCATCTCGCTTTATTGGCCGAGGGAGCCGGCGTACAGCTTCCGGGTCATGTGGCCAACATGACTAAGCCACTTCTGGCGAACCAGAGCAGTGCACAGAAATGCCGTTTACCTTCCCGCCGGAGCGGTACCTATTTATCTACTTGCACTTTGACGTACTTTAGAACTGCTAGGTTGGCAGGAGCAGGGACCAAGCAATGGGAGCTCACCTCGTTGCGGGGATTCGAACCGCCGACCTTCTGATCGGCAAGTCCTAGGCTCTGTTGTTTAACCCACAGCACCACCTGCGTCCCCGTTATGATAGTAGGCGATTGCTTTTATGAGTTTAACTCTTTTTAGAAGTTTCGGTTGTATTGTTTTAGTATCGATATGTTAGCCACCATTGTCTGCTTTGCAGGAAGGTTGGGATATAAACACATTTAACGAATAAAAATACATTGCAAGTCTTTAGTGGAAGAGGATATAAGCGGAGGGGCTATTTTTATTAGAATATTTCCTTTTGAATTCTAAATTTCCTTTTAGAATATCTTGGAGTCCCTCCCAGAAAAATCAGTCAGGTCAGCTAAAGCACAGTTAGTGATCCTTGAAATATTTGTAAAGCATGCTACAAATTCAAACATTATGCTGCAATAAGAGGAGTGGTTTCTCAAGACTTAACTAGGCTTTGGGAGGAGGGTGTCTGGAGATGCAAACTGAAGAGCTGACTCATTCCAGGAAAAGACTTCTTGTTGATTCTTTATCTAAAACCAGATGGAATGGTTTGAGAGAAGCCTGCTGAGAGAGCATTTAAGCCAAACACTAAGAGTACGGGGCTAGTGTAACAACATGTGAGCTGTTCCTTCTGCCTAGTATGGTATGCCTAAAAAGCCAAAGACTTGCACCCTGGTAGATGAACCAGACATAATAACTGAACTGCATTCCTGTTCTAAAAACAGGTATAAAATACAAAAAGCTGCCTTCAACCTTCCCCTTTTAAAACAAATTCCATGTACTTGGCCCTCTTATCTGCATTTTGGCACTTTGTCAGGGCTAGTTTTGAAAAACAACAGGTTTTCTGGAATACGGGTCATGAGCATTGTCCGATCTTTAGAATATTTTGACTGGAGCTGCAGTCATTAAACAAACAAAACAAAACATATTTTTGAAATAAGAATTATCCATACATTTTAATAATATGCTCATTAGGTAATGACAGAGGAAAGCTAGTCAAGCCGTTAATCCATCTACCTCAGTTTTGTCTGCACTGACTAGAAGCAGCTCTCAACGCTCTCTTGAGTCCTACCTGGAGATGCCAGGAACTGAACCGAGGACCTTCAGAATACCCTGCAGATGCCCTGGCACTAAACTGCAGCCCTAAATTGAAGCCTCTGTTTGAGGCAAGACAGAATCTTCATCCAATCCATGTGTCAATGATCCGAAAAGGCCACACCCTCAGCAGCAACAAGCCAGAGTCCAGCAAGCTACTCCACGCAAGCATGCCCTGTGTATTCCTTTCCGCTCCCCCCTTCCTACACTGCATTTCCTCGCACAGCTGGGGCTGCTACTGAACTTTGACTTTTATTTAAGTTCAAATCCTCTTACCAAAAAAAAAAAAAAATGGGAAAAGGGAAAAAAAAGACTTCTTAGCTGTAAACTAAGGACAACAAATAAGCTCATCAGTACTTCTTCGCTTACATTTTCCACCAGGCTCAGCTTGTTTAGAGATGGAAGGGAGGCTGCCTGCTGGAAGAAAGGGCATCCCAAGCTCTGCTCTTTCATCCCACTCCTTGGAGGAGTTGGATTCTGAATTTTGCAGTTCCCGGGGTGGAAAGCAACTGAAGGCCGCTTAAATTATGACGCAATCTGTCAGCTCCATTTTGAGTACAGCAACTAATGCACCTTTGCCATGCTAAATAAATATTCAATAATTAGCCCTTGATAAGGCAGTGGGCTCCATGGTTCTTTATTATTTGGGGAAAGAAGTCGTTTTTGCCAATGTGTTCACTGTGCTCTAAAACTCACATCTTCCCTGATTATTGGCCATGATGGCTTGGGTAAGATGGGAGAGCTGCAGGTTCAACCATTACTGCTTTAAAAGCCTCCACCCAGCCATTCCTATTAGCACATTAATAACCAGCAGCCATTGGGAGCCAGATTATATTGCTTCATCTCTTCCCCAAGGTCTCCCCACTCTGCTAATCTTTCTGTGCAGTGTGGGGAGGGAGTGGAACAACTTGCCTCGTGAATTCTCACATCGCATGAAGCCTTATTGCACCACCACCAACCCCTAGAAACCTCTGGAAGTGAGGAACAAACTCCATGTGAAGCAGATGTATCTATTCTAAGCCATGCTATAGTACACCAGCAGTATGCAGATGTTGCTACGCAGAATCTATTTCAGTTGTGGCTGGGCTACACTTTATGTCAATCCAACAGACACACACAACTAAATACTAATTAAAAGGTCATCACAATTGTTGGAAAGCACATGTTTATATATTAAAACCAGTCATGTTGATTGAATTCATGGAAGAACCTATGATAAGACCAGTGAACAGAGAGGTTCATTAAGCAGTAAATTCCTAGCCTCCTTGTATGAAATAAAACCAGCCATTATGTGAACGAGATCTGACCCCAGGAGTGAGCTGTGCTTTGATAGGCAACAGAATGCAATTTCAGCAAAATTGAGGGTGACTAACCTATGAGCTGCCATGTTATTGAACTCCAGCTCATTGGTCATTGATCAAGGATGTTGCGGACTGTAGTCCAATAACACCTGGTGAGTAAGGAGTCACCCTGGGGTTGACAGAACCTCTACTGGATCTGACGAGATAAAAATTATGGACACTTTGAAATTTGAGAAAGGCAATTATCAAGCAGTAGATCGGATTGGAGTGGTGTTACTTTATAAGACTAGCCACCAGCCAGAATCTCTTTTGCCAATATGTGGGGGATTTGCATGCTATATTAGCAAAGCAAAAGACACAACACGGATAATCATTATTCACTGACCGCATGTGTGAAGGACCTATCACAAATTGATATTTCAATATAGAAATTCTGTATCATCATCTGAGAAAGATCTCACATTTAGCTGAGCATTGGCTGACCAACTGATGTA